ATGAAAAGGAAGAAGAAGTTCCAAAGCTTTTTTACTTAGCAGTGGACTTTCATCAAGTAATCCTATCCAAAAATCTGCAACATTTTCGCAGTGAGATTTTATCACTTTTAAATGATCATCGGATGAAATTTCAATAAGCTGTTCATTTTCCTGAATAGACAGATTATTATTGTGGGTAGCTAAAAAGGGATCAATTACCCACAGATTATTTTTCCTTACATCTGTATCAGCAGGGAAGTACTTTTCAAAGTAATCTTGAAGCGACTTAATGTAGGACTTAACCAGTGAATGTAAAACATTCACATAAGCCTTTATTTTCAAAGATAAAATCTGAAAACAAGTTGAACATTTCAAACGATCCTTTTCCAGCTTCGGACTCCCATAGCAACAATTTTTTCTTAAATGAATCAATTTTTTTCCAAAAGTCAAATGCGGTTTTAGATGGTCCCTGCAGACCTGGACTCAATATGTTGAGCTGTTCAAAAATATCTGCTAAAAAAGCTAACTGGGCCATAAATTCCCCGTCACGCAGTGTTTTCGCTAAATCAGGTTTTTTTCATCCAGATACATACATACTTCTTCTCGAAGTTCATAAAATCTGGCTAAAACCCGGCCCCTGGACAGCCACCTAACTTCGGTATGTAGAAGAAGATTGGAATGGATGGATCCCATGTCCTCGCATAAGAAAGCAAACAATCTCGAACTAAAAGCATTACTTTTTATAAAGTTCACGGCCTTTACCACAGTAGTCAAAATCTTGTTTAGGTCGGGACTTAATCTTTTGGCAGCAAGCATTTCGCGATGAATAATACAGTGTGTTAAAACAATATCACGGTTTCCTTCTTTCCTTACAAAACTTGGCAAGCCTGTTTAGTGACCTGTCATTGCCGCGGCACCATCAGAGCAAAGTCCTACACAGTCTTTCCAAGAAAGATTTTTAATTGTGAAATATCCGTCAATGGCTTTAAAAATGTCTTTTCCGGTTGTGTTACCTTGCAACTCAATCGAGGTCAGGAACTCCTCAGATAATTTTTTGTTGTCTTTATCTATGAATCGTATATAAACAAGAAGAATAGCTTTATTGGTAATATCTGTAGATTCATCAAGTTGTACAGCAAAAATCTTTGAGGAATGAATTTTCTTTAGAAGTTGGGTTTCAACATCTGATGCCATTTCTTCAATTCTCCTACTAACGGTGTCATTGGAAAGAGGAATATTTTGCATTTGTTTAGCGTATTTATCACCTAAAATTGCTTTAGTTGCATCTACGATACATGGTAAAACTAGTTCCTCACCAAGAGTAAAGGCTTTTTTGGTTTCTGCGATTCTAAGTGAAAGTTGATATGACGCCTTCAAAGTAGCTTTATCATAAGTTGAGTATGACCTAAGGATATTTTTTGACGATTTTAGTTCCGTCTCCTTCCTCTTAAAGAAATCTACATTTTTATGCTTTGTTTCAAAGTATCTAGTTAATTTTGCCGGCTTCATTGCCTCATTACTTAATACCTCCGCACAACGTTCTCACTATCCGTCTTCTTAAAAAAACCCGAAAGTTTCATCTGTCTGCTCATTTTAGTAAACTACAATCACCAAGCCAAAAAAGACGCACGCTCGTCACTTGACAGTTAAGTCAGCACTGAGTCACTGAGTAGTGGCGCGATCAAAAACGCAGTGGTCGCAGTGTCCTGTACGTACACGACAACGGCCGAAACTAAATGAAGATAATGGAACCATATGGAACTAACTATTTTGCGCGTGAGGGAAAATACGCGGAAGATTGAGGTGAATGAACCTGTGTTCAGGCGCGCTTGGTCGTCTGGAAACGTTTTGAGTTAAAAAGATAGGCCAGCGCATTAATTTACGTCTCAAGAACCAAGATTTAAATTGATTATTTTATGACTGTTCACTTCGCGGACCACATGAAAACCGTTCGCGGACCACAGGTTGAGAATCACTGGTGTACACGATTAGAGACTGACACGTGCTTTAGATCGTTTTTATTAGTTTTACAAAAGTAATTTCAGTAAATATATTTTACGTGTTATTACTATCGTAAGTAAAATGCATGATTTCTTTCGGTATAAAGTACTGCACATATTTTTCTCATAATGATGTTTTTTGTTGTTGTTTACAAACAACATCATGCATATCTAGTAAATTTAATCTTTTAGATAAAACATCATGAGTTGGTAAAATAAAAAGGCCGCTGACTAACAAGCAACTTGCCGATATAATAGATAGGCTTTGGGATAGCGAAGATGGGTTTGATGATGATGATGATGATGATGATATTGTCGATCCAGATGGCTTACCTGACAAACAAGTTGGTGCATATGATGTGTCTAATAATGAGGATTCTGAACCAGTGAACGAAATGGATGAAAATGAAGGAGACACTGATATAATTAAAACAATGTAAAACAGAAGCCTCCAGAAGCTGTGGTTTACTCCAAGGGTAAAGGTATACATATTTTACAATCAATTTGTGATCAAAAGTATTATATGTTTTTTATTTTTAAACATTATATCGAGAAAAAATTGAACTTATCCGAACAGTAACTGGAATTTAGAAGAAATCAGAGTGTTCCAAATCATATCCTATAACTAGAAAGTCCCTATGAATATTATACTTTATTCTTCATAGATATCCTTTTAGACAAATTTGTGGAGAAGTCAAATTTATATGCCATACAGCAAAATCCTAATAAACCACTGAATATTATACGAAATGGCATAAAGCAGTTTGTTCGAAGTACAATATTTATGTCCCTTATTTATTTGTCCAATATAAGGATATATTGGTCAGAAGAAATTGGCAATTTTTGACATTTCAGGAATAATGAGAAATTATCCCATGAAAATCCAAACTACGATATAGTTTATAAAATTAGACCAATAGTTGATCACCTCAATGAAGCATTTTTAAACGAAATTCTATTGGAACAATATCTGTCGATCGATGAGCAAATTTGTTTTGGGGTTTTGGGGCAAATGAGGTTTTAAATTTTTTGTCTTATACAGTAGCTCTGGATATGCATATCGTATATACTATGTAGACAGGACAAGAGAATGATCAAAAAACGAGGCTTGCTTTTGAACCTGATATCGGAGCAACTCCAATGTTGTGGTGAGAGTGGCTAGAATTATTCCTAGGAATATGAGTCACAGGCTTTATTTTGACAATTCGTACTCTTCTATATCTTTCGTTGTATATCTTTCCGAACAAGATATTCACAGTTTAGGAACCGTAAGAAGAAATAGAATTCCAAATTGTAAGCTTTTAGATGAAAAGAAAGACAACAAAATTGGTCACATTTCTATCGACTTTTGCTGGCGAATTTCCTAAAACTAGTGCCAAGAGATAACACAAGATATATTCATATCTTGTACAAGAATATAACCGTCATATGGGCGGTGTTGGTTTGTTGGGCAGCAATATGTGACGGAATAAAATTGCATAAAACCGTTGCTAACAGCTAAATTCTTTAAAAGAATCCAGCTGAACATAGAACTGGAGCGAAGCCTAAAGCTCACGCTCAGTTTAGAACACAACTGAGAAAAGCATTATGCAGGACAGGATAGCGATTTACTATTGCAAAAAGGGGAAGATCTTCAGCAAGTGAAACTGAAGAAGCGCTACAAATAAAAAACATAAAAGGCCCAGCACAGGTTATGTCAGTAATGGATGTTTAAATGGATGGAATTCACCATTGACCTGTATGCTCCGAAAAACAAATAAGCTGCAAATTTCCACAGTGCAATGGCTATATACATGTGTTGTGCGAAAAGTATGGGGTAGCATTTTGCTTCACTAAAACGAAAAAACTGTTTTAAACATTTTCGTTTTTCCTTAATATTATTTTAAGTACATCCCTTTTTGGATAATGTTGTTCATAAAAAAAAAACCTTTCCAAAATAAAAAAAAAGTTTGTGTTTAGAATTTTTCTTTTTCCCGTAAAAATAACCAATGCAAACTTTTTTGTTCCGTCCATAGTAAAAATTTGTTTCAATGTTAGATGCTGTTTCACATTCGTCACTTGATAAGTCACCTACGTCAATTTCTAATTCTGTGTAGTAATCCGAGTGTTCACCTTCACTGTCAGTATCACTGTTATTAGAGTCAGTGTTATTAGTGTCAATATTCTCGGTTGGCTCCTCCATAGATTCGACAAAGTCAAAAACATTATCCCATCAGTAAAGAAACAAACATATTCAAACTAAAAAATAAGTATATTCCATAAAAAAAACACATTACTTCTTATCAATGATGTGGATACCATGGAACTACCAAAGAAGATCATCGTACAACTGTACTATATCTTCAAATACTGCTTGGAAAAACGACATTTTCCAAACAACTGGAATCACGCCATGATAAAACCCCTGCTAAAACCTAGGAAGGATGGAAGAAGAAGAAGAAGAACTATATACTCATAAATCAACAAGTTCTATTACATCTTAGATCTTAAGTTTTTGATGCATGCATTATTCCAATATTAACTTATGCGGCACAAAAATGGACAATCACAAAAAAGAATATGAATATACTTAGCGTCACTCAACACGCGATGGAAAGAGCAATGCTAGGTATATCACTTAAGGACAAGAAAACAAACACATGGATAAGACAGAAAACCAAAGTCACCGATGTGGTGCAAAAATCATTAAAGTTGAAATGGGAATACGCTGGACATGTAGCTAAAAGCGATCTAAACAAATGGCACAGATCAATTTTAACCTGGAGACCATACCAACACAAAAGACCCAGAGGCAGACCTCCTATGAGATGTACAGATGATCTGAAAAGGACTTCCGGGAAATATTGGCCTCAAATAGCGTACAATAAAAAACAATGGAAAGGAAGACTTAAAGAGGCTTATGTTCAGATGTAAGCGTGAATGGCTAGACGAAGAAGAAAAAGATATAAGTCAATATCAATCATATTATTCAAATGTGTCGTACGTAATAATTAAAATACCTCAATTTCTCAATTATTATACCTTACTATGTGTTATCACATCTTGCACATCGATATCATTATTTAAATAAGAAAACATCTTCGAATACGAGATATATTTTTGTTGTCGACAATCTACATTCTCTCCTCGAGGATCTTATAAGACTGTTTGTTGTAAAATAATCTCCGTTCCCGTTCTGCTCGTGTAAAACGTTGTAGATTCGCAAGAAATCGCGTGGGCGGCTCATTCTGGAAATCGCAAATAGCGTGGGGCTTTTTAACGTCATCGCACTATACAGGACGTGACGCGCCATATTGATTTTTAGCTAAAGTACATACCAAAACTGAACGACCTATGCTATTGCGTTGGAATCTTAATTGTGCACGTTTTTTTTACGATCCCATAGAATGTGTCAATAAGTTGACAAAATATATGTATGCAAATAATTTTTATGCATTTTAGGACTTTTTTAATATCGGCAAATATGTAAAATGATATAAATTTTCAAGTAGTAGAATGTTACTTTTGAGCTTTCAAAATTTCTCGCTACATGGCTGTAATCTATATTTGCGCCAATATGTTATTTGCAACGTTTTATTATCTGTTATGGAGTAAATGATATTGTTATGAGGAATTCTACAAAAATTCGCGCCTTAACTGGAGCCAAATATGGTGATATTGCAATTTGCTGCAGAAAAAACATGTTTTCAGGTGCGATCCTCAAAAAAAAGGCAAATTTAAGTTTTTTCCAACAAAAAACTGATTTGTTCGCTAAAGCTAAGCCTTCTTCTAGCGATCTGCCTCGAAAGAAGAGTGAAAGAGACTTCTATACTTGGAGCACACGTACATATCAGGTACCAATCGCTTTGTCTTGGTCTCCAGAAGGAACTCTGACCCTTTGAAGAGCCCAGAAACACCTACCCAAAGCGTGGCAAGCGGTTATTCAGTCACTAAAATCGACGTTTTTTTTTTCATTTTTTCGCGATTTTACCCGAAAATAGATTAAAAGATACCTCTATAGGCGGAGCACACATACATATTAGGTACCAATCGCTTTGTCTTGGTCCCCATAATAAACTCTGACCCTTTAGAGAACAAAAAAAAGCTCAAAGCGTGGCAAACTGTTATTCAGTCCCTAAAATCGACGTTTTTTTTCATTTTTTCGCAATTTTATCCGAAAATAGATTAAAAGATACCTCTATAGTTGGAGCACACGTTCATATCAGGTACCAATCGCTTTGTCTTGGTCCCCAGAAGAAACTCTGACCATTTAAAGAACCAAGAAACACCTGCTCAAAGCGTGGCAACTCTGACTATTTGAAGAACCAAGAAACACCTGCTCAAAGCGTGGCAAGCGGTTATTCAGTCCCTAAAATCGACGTTTTTTTTTTCATTTTTTTTTGCGATTTTACCGGAAAATCAAGTTAAAATGACTTTCATTCGACAACTAAGTTTTACAAAGGCGATTGGATCGTAGTAATTTATGATCAATGGTACGCAGGGGTAGTTGAAGAGGTAAACAACGAACATCTAACTAACCTTGAGTTTTAACCTTGTTTAGGCTTACGCCTCTTCAAGGAACGGGGAACTCCTTTTTTTTTTTGACGGAGTTGTGGTGGTTACGAGATAAGACGTCACTGATCGAAACGCGGCCTAAGAAGCAGAAAACTGCTAAGGAAGAAGGGGGAAAAGAAGGTGGCTTGTTTTGTGATCGATAAGAATCGTGAACGCACCAGAAGAATTGGGGTCGCCTAGCATGCTGTGAGGTACTTCAGGGTTACCAGCCATACAGTAGGAACGGCTCTTTATTAGCGTTTTTGGTGCGCAGCTTACCTGCGATAGTATATGGGGAAAGATTCTAAAATATCAAAATACTCATCAGGAAGTTCAGGTCCAGCGTTGTGCAGAAGTTTAGCTGGAGGGAATGGAACTTTTTTTGCGGGATGCCTGGTGAGTATTTGCCCTCTATGTGTGCAAGGTGTCTTTAGTATTTGTTTTGCTCGGTTGTTCGAGCCAGCTATGGTTCTTAGGACATACTTCCTACTGAGGGTTAGGATTCTGTCCTTAATTGGCGTGATGTTGGATATTGCGTGTATGTGGGCTGATGGATACAGCCAGTCCTTTCTCATGCAGAAACGTAGTATTCTACGTTCTGTGGCAGTGATGGCATTAAGTTCGTGGTTCCTCAGGGAGAGGTAAACGCATGCCTTGTATTCGACAATCGGTCGGATAAAAGTCTTGTAGGTGTGCAACAAGGTTCTAGTGGACGTTCCTCCTAGTTTACCGGCCAACACTTTCAGGAGATTGAGCCTTTTTCTCATCCTGTCAAGGGATTCCTGGACGTCAGCCTTCCAGCTGAGAGTTCTCGTAAAACGAACTCCCAGGTAGAGAACTGAGTTCCTGAGAACAAGGTCTTCTCCCAAAAGTGTCACCCGGCCCTGAAGGCCGCGTCCGTAAGGAGGTCTGAATAATATAGCTTGAGTTTTGGATGGGTTTAGTGTAACCCTCCATTTGTTGCACCACCTCACGACTCTGTCAAGATAATCCTGCGATTTCTCGAATACAGACCGTCGCTCTCCTTCCCTGTAGGAGCCTGAGGTAAGGATGGCTGTATCATCAGCAAATAGGAGGAGAGACTCCGATCCTTGCTGTGGGCGGGGGATGTCGCTATTGTAAACTGTGTATAATATTGGAGCAAGTATTGAGCCTTGGGGCACTCCTGCTTGAGGAGTGAATGGAGTGGAGAAGTGTTCTCCTATTTTGATCCGAACCGTCCGATGGGAGAGATAGGAATTTATTAGTTTAACGAAAGGTGTTGGCAGTCCAGCAAGGTGGAGTTTCTCAATCAGGCCTGCATGCCAGACCTGATCGAAAGCCTTCTGGACATCGAGGAAAATGCCTACGACGTGTTTCCTTTCGTTAATGGATTGTGAAATGAAGGTTGTTGCTTCAACCAATGCATTTTGAGTGGAGTGTCCAGCCCTGAATCCGAATTGGTAGTTTGGTATGAGGAAGTGAGCGTCTAGGAATTCTACGAGTCTCTCCTTGAGGATCCTCTCGTAGACTTTACCTAGGGTGCTCAATAAAGAAATTGGTCTATACGATTCAGGGTTGGTTAGGGTTTTCCCTTTTTTAGGGACCATGACGGTGCTGGCCACTTTCCACGGAATAGGAAAGTAGCTCAGCGCAAGAGATGCATTGATTATATTGGTGAGCAACGGGATGATATTCTGTGGAAGATTTTTGAGGCATCTTCTATGGATGCCATCTGGGCCAGGAGACGTGTTTTTTCCTATTTTACACATCTCGCTGACGGTTTCCTCAGTCACTGGTGCCATCATCGGGTGAGGATGTGGTCCATCAAGTGGCTGAGGGTAATAGAATATATCTTCCACTCTCCGTTCGGTGGCTCTTTTGGATCTTTCGCAGAAATTTGGGTTATTGGGTGAAACGAGGGTGGCCTGAAGTGTGTTTTTGAATGCTTCGGCCTTGTCTTGCGGATTATTTAAGATGACATTATTGATTTTGAGATGAGATCGTGGCTGACTTTTTTGTCTTGTTAGGACTTTGAGTTTATTCCAGAATGCAGAACCGTCCCGGTAGTCAAGGTCCGAGGTGACTCGCATCCACTGTCTTTGTTTCAGCTTGTTCACCTCGAGTCTTATGACCGCCGAGAGCCTATTGTATTCTGTTTTGATGATTGGGCCTCTGAATCTTTTATACTCTCTGAGAAGTCTTCGTTTGGTTTTTATCTGCGCGATGATTTGCGGCGGAAGTGTTGGAGTATAAGGATTATATCTTGTTTTGGGAATTGCTAGGGATGAGGCTTCTTGAAGAAGTTCCTCAACTTTGGAAATCCCTGTGTCAACTTGGTTATGTGTTGACATATTGCCTAACTCAGGAATATTTTGGTTGATGTGTTCTTGGAAAAGATCCCAATTTGCTCTACGATAATTTATCCTATAGATTGCAGGTCTTGGTTGAGGTAAGGAGTTAAAGTCAGTGTTGACTAGAAGAGGGAGATGGTCAGAGGTTATGGAATCACCAATGAAGCATTCATCGTCCATCCTATCAAGCAGGTTAACCGTGCATAAGATATGATCGACTATGGACATTCCTTGGTGGTTGAAGAACGTGACCTCTCGGTTGGTGATTCTGAAAATTGGCAGCTCAAGAAGAAGGTCTGAGAGCTGTCTGCCCGGAATATTCGAGGTTGTATCACCAAATTGAGTATGCCTGCTGTTTAGGTCGCCCATTAAAACCGCCTTGTCTAGTGTGGAAAAATACTCGACAAGGGGTATGGAGAGGGGTGTGTTTGGATGCTTGTAATAGGATATTATCGTGATCTTAGTGTTGTCTTGTAGGTGTATGTCAACTGCCAGGAAGTCGGTGTCATGGAGCTGGCCTAATATGTGAGGAGGAGGAGTATGAGGTGTGGAGGGTATTGTGTGGTGAATCAATAGGCCGTTGCCATGACTGGCCTGGCTTTTATTCAGGTGGTGTGAGGTGTATCCTGTGAAATTAGGGGGGGTTTTAAGTCGGGTGTCGGTGAGAGAGAGGATTTGTATGTTTTGGGTAAAGAGTAGATGTTTTATTAGTGCTCTCTTTCGACCGACTCCCGAACAGTTGACCGTACCTATTACACAGAACGAACATCTTGTAACAAAATTTCTCTCAACTACAAAAAATGGCTTTTGTTTTTTGAATCGACCAGAGCATACACAAAACGTTTTATCAACTCAAGTTTTATGTAAAATAGAATCGCCAGAACTAACTAAATTTAGAAATAAAATAATGTACAATATCAGTGAAAATAAGAAAAAAATGATTGAAATCTAATGTAAAAAATAATATAATTATATGATATATTTGGTATAATTTATATAATTAATATAATTTCTTTTTGAATCAAAAACAGTATTACAATTTTGTTTATTTCATATTATTCGAACTTTAATATGTATTGTTTCTGTTAAACACAAGATTATTTAATATTATATGCCAAGTTCTTTTTTATAGTGTTTAATTAATGAAAAATAAATATATTTATACCATTGTTATACCTATTAATATCAATATAAATATATTTATACCATTAT